CACTCCAATCGTGAGACTCATCCCACCAACTCATGGAAGGTTGCTGGCTTCCCCAATAGCAATGGCCAACAGCATGGTCCCAGCTAAACTACAGTGCTAAATTAAAACTGCATACGCCTTATCCTGAAATTCACCTCTAGTCTTCTTAGAAGTTTCCCATCCCTCACTGAGATAAAACAACAGGAATACAGATATAAGTTACCTTGCCCTATAGACAAGAGTACCTTGACTGTACCTGTAGAATGAGTTCTTGTAGTTGAGACTGTTTTTGCTTTATTCTTTCAAGTCTTCTCTGTTTCTCCACCTTAAGACAGAAAAAGGATTGGTTAGTTTGTTGGTTTTAAGTAGCGTTTTGTATCAACATTTTCTCCCCTTAAAATCATTTCAATACCAGAGAACTGGAGGTAGGACATAGGGTGTCAATCATTAAGGTTCTGCAGATAATTTAGAGAACTAACTATCAAGACTCACATCAGTACTACTGATGGAAACGGTAACAAAGAATTAGAACACTGGGGAATAAAGTACAATATATCGGGGAGAGGGTAAAAACATCTTTGCAAACAGAAGTTATGCCTCAAAGAATTATCCAAATTATCTCAAGGAGGCAAAGAGCAGGTAGACCAGAAGGATCCACTTGATGTAGTCTACTGATATTGGAGGTATTGGAGAAGATCCATCAAAGATGCTTAAAGAAATGAAGCTGCTATGGAGCCCAAGGTTAAGTCCTGACAATATTAAATACATACTAAGTAACATAAAAGATAGAAGACAAAATGGTAGGAAATAAACAGCTTTCTCAGTGGAGGAAGCTCACCAGCAGATTCCCACAAGGACTTAATTTACAGACTGTTATTGCAATTACAGAGGATCAGAGCAAGGGGATGAACAGCAAGGTGACAGAATCTGCTGACAATGCTACGTTACCTGGCATAGTAAAAAGAGAGCTCATCATAAAGCACACCCGAAGTGTGTTGTAGCACTGAGTGATTACATCATCAAAATTATTTTTGGTAAATGTAATGTGGTATGTGTGAGAAAACATAATTCCATCCATGTGTTACTTCAGAAATAAAATGACATTCAGTAGACATCTTAAATTACAATATCTACAAAAACCATCAGCTCAGTACACCACAGCAGCCAAAAATTTGAATTATTAAACAAGGAACAGAGAACAGAACAGAAATTATCACATCAGTATATAAACCAGAATGTTTACATTTTGAATTCTGCAGGTCTGGCTGTTCCTATTTCAAAAAGACCATACAAAAGAGCAATCAGAATAATCAATTCCACACAAGTGAATAATGAATAAACTAGAACACTACAGAAAAGAGAATGAAATAATGGGGGAGAACATGGGAGATACCTATAAAACCATGAACAGGATGGAGAAAGTGAGTAAGGAATGACCAGGTCACCATCACTTCCAATGCAAAAAAAATCAGAGGATATCAACTAAATATAGTATGTTCAGAATCAAACAAAAGGTATTTCATAAGAAGCTTCTAATGCACCTGAAACTCACTGCCACAAATGACTCAATATTAAAAGCAAACTTTGTAGAAAGTAAAAATTTGTGAAGAAAAATTAATTGAGGGCTACTAAATAGAAGGACACTGTATCTGCTTCAGGCTATATGCCTGAACCACAAGTTACAAGAGAATACATCACTAAATACTTTCTCTAATCTTATACTCCTTCCTAGGTAACTGCTACTGTCAGGCAAGATACTGCATAGACAGACCGCTGGCCTGAACATCAGCTTTTGTTTCTAGGTCCTTAAAATATGCAACTAACAAGAAAATGACTGGAGTTAAAAATTCACATGAATGCAGTTTTCTGTTTGTTTTCAGTGGAAAAAAAAAAAACCAGAATTGTACAGAGTTGAAAAAACTGCAGTAAGGCATGATGTTATATTAAAAAAAAAAAAAGAAAAAAAAAGGTAGGACCAAGTCTTGTAATTTAGCATTAGAAAATAAGCCAAATAACTGCCTCCCCCCAAAAAATTTACCACAACTCACCTGAGATATTTTTCTATCACATACATGTAAACTACATTGCTTTCCGTATTACTTCAAGATACAGACCTTTTTAATTGCCCCACACCCTCTCTTTTTGCATTATCAGGACATATTTTACCAAATCTAATATTCTAATTCACACACAAAGTACAACTTTAAAAAGACTTAAAATACTAAATACTTGATGGGGAACCCCTTAAATTCCTGTGTTCCCTTATAAACTATTTGGTTTGATTTTTCAACAGTTTAAGCGTGAAGCTAAGCAATATCAGATGGAATAGTAAAAAAAGTTTATTAGGCTTGACAATTTCACAAATTAGCCTCAATTTCACAACATTAGCCTCCACAAACTCACGAAAAAGAATCTTATTGCAAAACTTGTCAGGTAATGTCACTAATAATCTAAATGTCAATAGAGCTTGCAGAAACAGGAGCTAGAATACTCATGAAGCCATAATGGGGAAGGGAGGAATCCTGCAATTTCCTCGAGTAAACTCAACACATCTTAGGATTTTTACTATTTTCAAGACTATATTACACTTGTGGCTCAATTATTCAATGGTTAACAGGACTCTTTCCTCCTCTTGTGACACTCAATTAACAAGTTTTCGCTTTGGTATCAGAAGTTATCATTGTTCGCATCTTAAACGCATGAACCTTCACTGTGCATTATTACATTCTAAGTTGCTTTTTTTACTTCAGTATGAATATTATCCTACTACTCTTTAGGACATTATCTATCATGACATCAAACCCAGCTGAATGAGCCACACTTCTTTTTCTTTTGCTCCAACATTACTGGCAATGCCATATTTTGTGAGACAGATCCAAAGACATCTACTTTTAAAATCCCTCCAGCTAGCTGGTTCCCTATTCAGCACACAGCACTGTCATCTTCAAACCACTTTTCCATACTCACCCTATTTATGCCCCAATTATCACTCTCTTACCTTAACTAATAATTTTCACTTGAGATGATAAATATTTAAATAAAACTCAGATTGATTAATACCCCGTATTTTCTTCACCTAGATAGCAACTACAGTACTAACTGAAAAATCAATTATCAGTATCAAACAAAAATCTCCATAGAATTAGCCCTCTGTAGATAGATCCCAAAACGTTTTTTTCCCAATTCGTCAGTTTCTATACTAATTTTTCAGTTGAATTTAGACTTATTAAGAATCAATACAAAGTCTCATTCTATTCTGATAAAGTGAGTTGACTTCAGTAAACCTTGGTAACTTTATTATCCTGCAAATCTCCGGATAGTCAAAAAAATATCCTGCCAGAACTTATGAATGCCTTTCAGTATAAAACATTTTACTTCTTACACAAGACATGCAGTAAAAAAGACATGTTCATGTAAGACAAATGTTAGAAATACGTAAGACCTGCAGCAATAAAGAAGGAGCAATGCATACATATACTGATATACATACAACATCTATCATCCCAGATGTATTATTTGTCTGGCATCTGGAGAAAACAATCTTCCTGACTCCTGAGCACCACTATTGCAATGTTGGAAATACACATTCATCTTTCAGTTTGATTAACTTCCACTCAGAACCATTTCACGTATACTGTAAAAGCTGTGACAGAGCTGTATTTTTGACACAGAAGAATTAAAAAAAAAAAAAATTTAAGCAATCTGGAAGTTTAAACGTGTGTTCTGTAAATACAAATAAAATTTAAAAAAAAAGTCAAAAGGGACCATACTATTCTACCTTGCTATCTCAGAAGATCACATGCATCTGTTGTATCAGAACATATTAAAGCTGTAAACATTTACTCAAACACAAAGCCATTGCCAACTTCCTAATACATATACCTCTAAATTCTGACATTCCTGAGCCGAGTTAGTAGGTAGACCAATCCATTTGATTTCCTTCTTCTCCTTAGAGATAATGTTCATGGCCATAAGGACATTTAAGGCATCGTAGACACGTCGTCTAATATTCTTCTGGTCATAAGCCTGCTGTAGACATAATGCATTAATCAAAAACATACCTGTGACAAAAATATTTGAAAATAAATATATTACAGTAAATGGGTAAACTCAGGTAACATCTGAACTGCTTTAGCAGTAGGAAACGAAATACAAAGTTTCAAAAGAAATTTCTCTTCCCCCATTCAGTTCACATGTAATTGACCTCCCATATACTTACTGATTCATTTGGTGAAATGTGATTATCAGTGGTACTGAATTCTGCAACCAACTCGTCTGCCACCTCATTGTATGAGGTGGTTCCTTTTCTTTGTACCTTCTCACAAACCTTCATAGAGAAATGACGTAAACCCTTGCCATTCTTCTCTCCTTTTTTGTTCCGCTTCCTAAATATATGTATAATATATATTTTAAGCAGATTTGAACTTTGGAATATTTAATGTCTTTTTCAAATACAGGCACACTGCTGTAAAAAACCAAGCCTTCCCTTTTGTTCTGCTTCTCACCCCTTCCCAACATTTTTTCCTATAATTTTTTTCCCCTACAATTTACAATAATTAATTACAATTCTAGTATCTTGATGCTGAAACACAGTACAAATTCATTCTTTTGGCAACTCTGGTAGCTCCTGTAGCAGATAAGAAGTTAGCAATAAGGATATTCCTTGAAGAAGTCAATGAAGAAAACCTTCCAATCTTCAAGACAAGAAGGTATAGGGAGATAAATGCTAAAATATGAAAAGTTAATTACAGGAGATAACTTTTTTTTGTCTTTTTTTTATTTAAATAACCCATCTAGTTTGACCACAAAAAATTAGACTGATTGAGCATTTTCTACATAAGTCCGATACTGACTGAACAGATGAAGTCTGATATTGGTTGAACTCATTATACTGTTACTAAAACACATATTTGAAGTTATACAGTATATAAAGTTGCTATGAAAACTTCAAAGTTACAAGATACAAGGAGTATAACAAAGTTTTCTGCATATATTTTATCATTGAAATAAAAAGTTCCTTGTAACTTGAGGAAAAAAATGTAAGTATCAACAAAATGAGTATCAGCAACGGAACCTCTCAATTCTCTACATTTCATTTCACTGTATAATTCCAAAGTAGAAATCTATTTGTGTGTAACAAGACACTGATGATAAATTTAGTCTTAAAGCAACTATATGTAACAAGAGACCCTTAAAAACAGGCTTGCATGAGAAAAGACACCAAAAGAATGCATTTATTGTATCTAATACTTTTTCCCAACAGGGACTACATTCTTGTTTCAAATGATACTTCAGGATCCACTTGTTCAATCTGAGTTGTACTGTATTCTTTTGGAAACACACCAGCAAAACAGAAATGCCAAATTAAAAATTGAATCAAGTCTGATGAATTCCTGTGTTCTTTTAGGAGCTAAATTCTCTAAATGTAAGTAATATGAGAATATCTGTCAAGAGTTTACAGAAAATATTTTAGTTCCTTTTACGACAAATGAGGGGGTATTCATTCTTGTGTGACTATTCCTGATTTTAATACAATATACTTTAATGTTGAAGTGCTCCTGCTGGAAAAGTAAACTGACTGTCTCTCTCACACTGCTAGCCTGAAGAGTACATATGCTATCACAGTGAACATTTATAACAAAAGTTCCAAACAATTTATTACTCCTTTGTAACTTTTATTCTGCTCACCCAGCAGACCACGGCGAAGAATCTGCAGTCTGGTTCTGTGATACAAAATGTGTGTTAGGTGTATGTGGACTTCCTACCAGGATAGTATTTGGCGCTGAAGGTCTCTGAGGTGTACCAATAACCTACAGCAAAGATAACATAATTTGGAAAATGATCGTAAGTATTCCAAGATATTCATATGGTGCACAATTCAAACGATGCATTATCCAAACAACACTAATACTTTTTTCCTACCTAATTTTATTAGATGCACTGAATTTATACACACTAGCACAAAAACCTTCAGACTACAGATTATATAGTTAGAGCACTCCCTAAGTAATAAGCATTTATGTTTCATCCTTCTCAAATGAGCTTTTCATGCTTGCTGGATTTCTTTACACTGTTCAACACTAACTTAGACAAGATCAAAACACACACACCTCCTTCCCCCCAAAAGAAAAAGGGAAAAGAGGAGGGAAAGAAAAACCCCTACCAGACTACGTATAAAGAAGTTGCAGTAAGTTACCGTTAAAATATGAACATATGAAACAAGAAGATTTGAAAATCAGTAAAAGCAGAGAGAAAATGCAGAGCTGTTGCAAGAAAGGCCAAATTCTCTCCTGCAGTCAGTCTCTATCAAAAACCAAAATACAAGTATGTTAGAGGTGAGAAAAAGTAAGGGCCAACTTTCTTTATCACTGCAGTGAGCGAGACCAATTTAGGCAAAACCACTCCATTCTGAACATGTTACGAGCACAAACTCAGCTGATCACAGTCTTCCCGCTTACAGGTAAGTAGTCCTGAAGATGTGCTAATTTGATCATGAGTAATACACACATTCACACATAGAGCCATGCTCTCCTTATCTGTGAAACTAGCTGAAGCAGAACTTCCACTTTTGCAGATGATGTTTTTTATCTCTGAAATGTTATAAATGTAACTTTCAAGAGAATACGTACTTAGGAAAACAAAATGATACTGTATAGATTTCTATTTTGTAGAAAGATATGCCTACTTTTTGGGGGTATATTTACCTCCCAGTGGAAACAGTAGGTTGCATCCCTGACATCAGGTAAGTGAAACGAACATCAAATGAACCTAAACTCATAACCACTCACAAGCTTGCTCTATTTTCCTGCAGCCACATTCTGCCTCACCAACAAAATTTGAAGCTTCTTCCTCAGGCTAGCTTCAGTAATTTAGGGTTGCTTGCTATCCCCTTCAGAACTGTAAAGTCAACAGAAATTTACCCAAAATTTCTCTCTACATATACACAAAACAAAACCTCCATATCTTCTTTAACGACATACAACTAAGCATCTAATTTTGTACTGATAACAGCCAATACAAATATGCTGATATGGTCCCCTTCTTTCACAAAAAAAAAAATTAATGCTAATATGTTCAGAGTAAGACTTAAAGTGATGAAAAAATTATGATTGCAAATGTAAATTTCCCACAGTAATCATACTAACAAAACCATCATTAAGGGTAATTATTATTTTGGAGTAATTTTTTTAGCAATGTTACCATGTAAAATTAATCATAGATAATACAGATGACGATTTGTTAATTTAAACTTGCGATGGAAGACACAAGAATTTATTTTATAATATAACATTGTTGTAAACATTAATTTACTCATTGTTGAAAGTTTAAAAAAGCATCAGATGATTTGTAATTTCATTATTATCCCCTGGCTTGGTACTTTAAGAAAAGATTTTTTTAAGTTACCTGAAAGAACATTTCTTTTTCAACATTAAACTCAAGTATGTACAGAGTCTCACAATAATGCCCAGAAGGGACCCCCTCTGTGCCATTATGGCCTATGATCTATAGTTAAAACATTCCCCTCCTACTGCTGGTTACTGATTTTAAATTAAAAGAATGCCTAACTACTCTGAATTTCCTTGTTTGGAAATGTATTGATAAAACACTTCCTACTGAAGGAGCAATTTCATTCAGTTAAACTCATTTCGCTACACTCTTAACTTCCAAGTGGCTGCTGGAAGTAGTTAATTCACCACCACTGCTGGAAAGAGAGCACAGTGAATGATCTGCACTACATCTGTATGGTTGAAGCAGTACAGTTTATAGATTCAGGCAGCCTCAAATATAAAACACTCCTTAGAGCTTAGAGTTGGGAAAGGCAGATGGGAAACTGCTTTCCTATCAAGAAGAAACCCAAATATAAGACATTCCATTTCAGATGTTCACGTTACAGTTGCTTTACAGAAGATGAATTGAGACCAACTCTTTTCAGATTACCAAATTTTGACTTTTATCACTATAAAAGTGACTTCTCATAACCTATGTATTATCTATTGCATTTTTAGATTCTTTGAAACCTCTAATTTCATGTACCTCACACAAAGCTCACAATAAGTATTTCAGCAAAAGGATATCTAAATTAAGCACTGAGAAAGGTAGCTCTGTTTTCAATTTTGTTCCACCTAACTTCAATCTCAAAAATGTGCTGATGAACTTCATTTACATTTCCCTATGTCCAATTTCAAAGCAGAAACCTGAAAAAGCCACTGATTTTAAGTGGCAAGACTAGCAAAAGATAAAGCCACCTGAATATTCAGGTATCTGCATGTTGATTTGAGAGTCATCTTTGCATTTCTTTATGCAAAAGAACATTTGTTTTAACATAAGTCTATTAAAATCAGAAACAAGCTTAGACTATTTGCCCATGACAACTGATACCGACTATCAAGCTACAAGTCAGATTTACAGTATGTGTAAGCAACAGTACAAGCAATAAAAAAACCACAAAGTCTCCTTACCACTTGTTGTGCAATGTTGACATTAGACTGTCCGAATGTTTTTGGCAGGAGCTGTTTTCCAAGCGTATTTACTGTAGAAGGATGAACAGCCAATAGAGAAACAACCCCTGAAACAAATACAGGTAGATAGCTTCAGGTCAGCCACATAGTATTATTTTACCAATTCCAGTTTCATCTATACTACTAATGCGTATTAATAGAAACTAGCTCTGAACTGCATAGAGTGTCAATATAAACGTAGCATTTACACATTTGAAGGAAAAAAAAAATTAAGATTCATGGTATGTTCTCTCAAACTTTCTCCTATGTAACCTTACAAGTCACTGATCTAGTATGAACACGTTTTAATTCCTTGTATTCCAATTTTTCTCTCAAAGCAGAGTAATAGAGGTAATGGGCATCTAACAGAAAACATAATTTCCTCCTCTTCTACCCCTGTCCTTTGTGGCTATTGAAATCTTTTCCCACACCACCTGAAAAACACGCCCGATGCCCCAGCATATGACATCCCCTTCTGAGGCATGCTGGTCTACAGGAGATAAAATTTGGTTAGCACAGACCTTCCCAAGAGAATATTTGCAACTTTCCTGAAAGTGCTCCCTCCCAGCTAAAGGCAGGGAATTAAAGAACAAAAGTCTTCAAGAATCCAGTATTTGAGCAAAATACATATACAACACAGTAGACCAACCCTGCAGGGAAAGTGGCTCTCTTCCTGTTCATAAGCCATCCACAACCACCATTGATAAGTAAGCAAGTCTTAAGCCATGTAAAACAAAATTCAACTACAAAAATACGAAGCCAGATATCCTCTAGCAGTTTGATGTGTCATGCCATGGTTTAAAAAACAAAACAAAACAAAAAAGAAGCAACAAAGACTGACTACGGAAAAAGAATAATGGCACAAACAACTCTTAAAATACTGGAGACATTTGTTTTGCTGAAACATCTATCATTTAGTTGTCAGGTGAAAGGTTTAGCAGTTCTTTCCCTCAGATCACTTTTAAAGGGGCCAATGGGGCCAGAAGGACTTGGCACAATTCCCATTCATCTTCCTTTCTTTTTCCCATTATCCAATACAGAAGTAGTAAGTAAGCATTTTTACAACAGTTGTATCAGGAAGGGCTCTAACGAGTCCATGATGCCTATCATCACTCTTATGCATTCAGGTAGTCTACAGAAAGTTGGGGACAACTCAAATCTTTTTTAAGCCCTTGCTTTCCAAAAGGCTTGTATTTCCTAGCTGCTATTACTACACCATGTCAAACTGATAGCTTCACACAAGAACTTATTCTCAGTCCCCCAAAGTTGAACAGGATGCGGTAGCCTATCATTCTTCCATTATTAACCAACTTTTCAGCGCTCTTTCAGAAAGTCAGCAGCTATCTAATTTGTAACATAAGTCTCTTATGCCTTCCTGTTCCTTCAAGTACATCAATCGCTATCACGGCCCGGTTTGTGTGTGTTCTTTCTCTCTGCAGAATGCAATAAAGCGATATAAACTACCCCGGCTGTTAGTGCTTGTGCATCTTCTTCTCAGCTTCCTGGAGGTCAACATGGTTTTTTTTAACCTCCACCTTATTGCTTTAAAAACAATAAAGCAACCTGAAGATTGTATTTCCAGTATAAAATAAGAATTGTAACTGCTTTCCAAAGTTAAGGCGCCTCATCTATTTGATCACCTTTCCTTACCTTTGACGGCTCTTGTTGCCCGTACACTTTCTACCTCTCCTACCCTTTGGAATTTATTTTTGCAGGGGACAGGGATGGACACATTATTCATGACAAAGGAATGCCATATGTTATTGTATAACTCCATAGCACATTTTCTATTTTATTCCCTGTTCCTTTCCAAATAATTCTCAAAATTCAATTTGCTTGTTCCCCACCAAACACCGATACCACATTTTCATGATATGACCTAGGATGACTTCAAAATCTTTCTTGAGTGCTAACAGCTCACTTGGGGTCCTCATCGTATCTAGTTTGGTTTTCACCAATTATTAACCCATGGGAGTACTGCCCCATTCTATGACACCTTAGTTTCTTTAACAGGCTGATTAAGGACCTTGATAATCAAGGTTTTTTTGTTGCTGTTATTTTTAAGAAATCCAAGGACATCGCACTGATTAGATAACCCTTATCCACATGGTTGTTGACTCTTTCAAAGCATGACTTTGAAAAGACGTTAACTTCGTAACTTCCCTTTTTCCCCCCCTCTAGAAAAGCCCTGTTAACTCCTGCCCATTATCACATTTATTGACATGTCTACTACTTCTCTGTTAAGTGCTCAACTGATTTGCCTAACAGAAGTCTGACTTACTCATCTGCAGCTATCTAAGCCCTTCAAAAATTGACGCAGGATATGTCGCTTTCTATCCTTCTGGTACTATATGAATTATACATATACTGAGTTAGCAGGACAGAAGTACCATTGCTAGGTCCTTTAATAATTCACAGGTAGATACTCCATGGCCATGATGATTTCTAACCATTCATGTTATCAATTTTTTCCTAAGACAACAACTTCTAGCAATACTTCAGTAGGACAACTTCATAAATGACAGTATTGCCATGAGACTCTCCCTAATCATCTTGATCATCTATCAACCCTTCAGATGCACTCAAAAGACTTCGTTCTTCTGGTATGTTTAAAAATAAAGTAACTCTTTATGCTATCGTGTTGTTTCTTAAAAACTTTTATGCAGTCCACAAAGACAAATGCAAAAATCTTGCACTTATGACAGTATAACTCCACGCAACAGCAGAGGTCAGGGGTCAAGTGGTCAGGAAGCAGACGTGCAGAAAAGGACCTGGGGGTCTGGGTGGACAAGCTGAATGTGACCCAGAAGTACACCCCTATGCTAATGAAGACTTAACTGCATCCTGGGCTGCATTTGGAAGAGTACAGAAATAAGTACAAAATAAGTCATTTCCTTTTACTCCAGCACTCTTTAAGCTGTACCTGCATTACTCTTTTCAGTTTTGGGGCCCACAGTGCCAGAGAGGCATTAACAAACAGGAAAGAGCCCAGCAGAAAGACACTAATATGGCTAGGGTACTGGAGCATATGATGTACAAGGAGAAGCTGAGGGAGCTTGGCGCGTTCAGCCTGTGGAACAGAAGATTAAGGTGGGACGAGGGGTGTATTTGTGGGAATCTAATCACTGCCTTCAATTATCAAATGGAGAGTTACAGAGATGACAGAGGACACAAAAGGAAAAGAGGCAACACTCGCAAGTTGCTGCACAGCAAATTCCAACCAGACATGAGGAAAAAAATTCACAATGAGAAAGGTAAAGCACAGCAACAGGTTGCCTAGGAGGTTCCCTGGAGATACACAGAAAAATTGAACTACTGAAGGCTCTGTGCTTTGAAGCTGGCCCTGGTTTGATTGCAAGGTTAGATCAGATGGCCTCCAGCATCCTTATATTATCCATTTAATTCTATGAATACAAATAGCTATTTTGCAACTAAATCATCTGCATGAAGGGAAGAGTATGCACTATGCATCTTTAAACTTTTTAATTACATTAACATTTCCTGTGGTGCTGTGCCAGAGTTAATTCATGCAACTGAACCAACCTGGCTCTATACAGAAAGTGCAAGGTACATCTGTCTACATGGCACAAACTGATTGGCAAGGAAATGCAAACGTAACTGGAAGAACAGTAACACACACTTCAGTTTGAAGCAAAGACAGTGTCAACCTATAAAAGGTATCATACTAAATAGGAAAGAGCATAAATGTTCAACAACGGGGGGAAAAAAAGGAAGAAAAAACAGTGTTGTTTTTAAGGGTATTTTCAAATTGTCTCTGCCCAAGTGCATCCTATTATTTTCTCATTCACCTGCAAACATTTTTCTCATATTCACCTGCATTTTCATTGAAGGCTTATAATGCTCTCGTTTCACAGCGGTTTTGTGTGTGTGGTTTGTTTGTTTGTTAAGTATACAAGCAGAAATAACTTTATTAACTTAGCTTTGCAAGTGACTGACACCTCAGTTTCTCAAAGGAATTTTATTAATCACTTGTTAATTACTTACTCTTACAGCAATCACTGCAATCCAAATAGTCCTGTACTGCACTTTGTGGCCAACATACGGTGTGCGTAACAGCATGTAAAAATTAAAACGCAAGTTTGGAAACAGCTTCCGTGGCACCAACTCCTCTTCCTTTTCAAAACAAACACATACGAATACTGCAAGTTCCTGACACTTTTTTTTTTTTCTTCTCCTTCTAAAGACTTCAAAAAACATGGAAAAGGCCATGTAAAGCACACAAAAAATTATACTGAAGGACGTAACTACTACTTAAATTCTCAGTCTCCCAAACATCTCTCAGTCTTCCAAACTACTCTTAGTAACTTAGAAGCAATCATTAAACCTAAATGAAAGTAGAACTTCATCAACACAAAGTTCCAAAATGCCTCCAAACGGAAGATAATGATACTGATGTGATCAAGGAGTAATGCCATATAAAAGTTGCACAGCAAAAGCAGCACCCTTTAACACAACCTATTATTTATCTGTCTACAAAATGTTCCAACTAAGTGCTCTCTTCATACAGAGCATGCAGTAAGTAGCCTTCTTTGGTTACTGATTGCACTTAGGGGAGAAATTTTGAACCGGACCTTAGAAAGAATCCCTTGCAGAATTTTAACAGTAAAACAGATTGGTGATACAGGCAATTATGAACATTTTAAGCAACTTGACATGCCACAGGAAAAGACACAGTACATCTAAAATTAGAGAAAGGAGTGCCTTCTGCAGACAAAGCAGTAGATCTGTCTAAAAACTGACTGCTCCAGTTCATGTAACAGTAGTGCCTTTGAATTTGGTGCCTTAGACCAAAGAGGTTGGGCTGAGGTACTCCTTGCCTCAGGAGCAGAAATCCCATTCATTCTAGGAGCTGTACCATTTTCTGACGTAATCTGTCTTTGTTTTACTTACTTGTGAAAGAGAGCAATAGAAGTGATGCAACAACAGAAGGCAACAGAAAAACAAGTCAGTTTCCTGATAATGCCATCTCAAACTAAGTCTTGTCAGTCTGTCTTCTAGCATAGAAGCAATATTGTATATGGTGGAACTGGATTTGGTAAGAAGGTAA